GTGTGCCCATGTGCAGGCCCTCAGGCTGTTGTCAGGCAGATCATGGGAAATGTTGGGAGCTAGCCTGGCTGTGTGCATTTACCTACGTATCTCTGTTCCCTAAAGAAGAAAAAGAAAGAAAGCAGAAGGAAAGAAGTGAGACTAGGGAATCAGGAGCAGGCTTACAACAGAGGAATGGAGTGAATTCCTTGACGTGTGTAAAACATGTCCGTAGGGGGAATTACAAGCACAGCAAGATTCACAGACTTCCAACTTCTTAAAACAACACTCGCTGTCCCACACCCCCAACCCCCTCCTTCGCCATTCTCAGCCTGCACTCCACTACCACCCCCTCCACCCCTGCTCCTTGCCCCTGGAGTAGTTAAAGGCAAGGGATAATCTGTGGAGGAATTCCAAAAGGCAGGAATCCAGGGATTATCCAAAGGAAGAAAAATGGTAGATGATGGAATTATGTAGGGTTTACCTGAAATCATTGCTCGGGTTTTGTGCTTTTGAGATGGAAATTGGTAAAGGCTTGACTGATTTTTATTTTGAAAATTAAATGCATTCAGAGCTTTGGCTGTGTTAAAGTCAACGTTTGTGGGGTTTGAAGAGTTTGCTAATGCAGACAGTAGGCAGATTAATTTAAGGAGAGTTAAAATCATTGTTTGTTGCTGCTGGATTTTTTTTAAACACTAATGGTAAAGGTAATAAAACAGTTTTAACTTTCTTCCGACTTATTTAAGTCTCCAGGTTACTAGAGGTGGGAATCACCATACATCCCACGATACAATATTATCACAATACTTAATGCACGATACAATATTATTGCAATTTTTTAAAAATATTTTGCGATATTCAGATTCTGTACATAAAGGTAAACTTTATCAATATTCTTTTTATCTAATAACAAAGTCTCACACTCACTCTTTCTCTCATTTCAGTTTTATTGTTGACAAACTGAACGGTTTGTATTACAGTCTAGTCCAACTTAACTGAATCAACCATCTGGTACAATTATAGCTATTCTGAACTATGCAGTTTATGAAAACTATGCAGCCCCTTCAGCAACTGAAGAATTTGAAAGTAAATTAAAACAAAATATAATTTTACATTAAATAAAAAAGTTTTAAACTTATTTTAATTTAAGACATGTTTTATTTTAATTAAGTAAACTGTCATGTTTATTGCTGCCAAAAAAAAAGTTAAACACATTTGGACAGTGAAGGAATGTCAGGATTCTTGCTCAGAAAAAGGAGCTGATCAACATGCTCTGAAGTCTGAAGTTTTTGTAACAAAATATTGATTTCTGCTATTATTAGCGAACAAAATATCACGATACTACACAGTATCGATTTTTTCCCCACCCCTACAGGTTACCTAGTCTGACACATTATTAGGATTAAATAGTTGCACAACATAAATAATCTGATATTCTGTGTGGGCTTGTTTTCTTCTGTTGCTCCATTTTTCTCTGAGCCACCAGTGGACTGGCAGCAAACACAAAGGAATTGTGGGAATTGTTATTGAATTTAAGGGTAATTGTGTTAATATGATAACAATTTGATTTTGACGTACCATGGCTTCACAAAGTAACACACTGTTTTCAAAGCTGTCACGCGAGTGCTATTTATGCAAAATAATTTATCGCACATGCAGTTTTTTTTCATTGCATGTCGCATTGTAGAGCTCTACAGGACCGATTGAATTAACTGAGAAGTGTTTTAATAAACTGGAAATTGTATAATGAGTTCGTTTTTGACGTGCTTGTCCTACCATGGCAAATTTGTTGCCTTCACCCTTTATTTCAGTGCAGATCTTTGGGTTTGGAAACCGTGGAAAGTGAAACTTAGGCTGTATCTGTTCAAAGCTCTCTGTGGTGCAGTGAAATAACTAATGCTTTCTATTACTTTATTTGACCTCCAGAATTTGGAGTCCTTGTGTTCCTTACGTGGCTACGGTAAATATAGGCTGGCAGCAGAATAGTGTTGTGTTACATTATCTGTGTATGGCTGTTATTGTAAACAGGCTACATCCTTGGGGCTTAGCTCCTCCTGTCCTACTTAGCTGGTCGATAAACAGGCTTTAGCTTTAATTATGTGATGTCTGATATTGCACGTTCTTACATCATGCTGGTATCTTGTTTATGTGTTTTGTCTGGCCCTGTGTTATTTTGTGCATGTGCGTGTTTGTCCATCGCTATTTCTCCGAGCCTCTGCCTGTGCATGCAGTTTGGATATCTGAGGATATAATAACCGTGGGTGTATGTCTGGCAAGTGTAATTGCTGCCACTCTGCACGGCTGGTCAATAGACTAGTACTGTGTGTGTGTGTGTGTTTTCATATTTACATGGAGAATTACATCAGATCCTTTTTTTAAATATCTAAATGTCAGTACATATTTTCTGCTATAGTTTCATCTATGTAGTTTTAGTTGAGACATATGTTTAATGTGTTTTCGTTAATATACATTCAGCACCAACTTTAGGTACAGCGGTAAAATATTATCCACTCATTTCAATTCATTTCAGTTTTATTTATATAGCATCAAATCTCAATAAAAGTCATGTCAGGCACTTTGTAAAGTAACGACCTAAAATTATATAGAAAAGAACCCACAACAGTCCCATCCCAAGACCCCATGTGAGAAGGCAGTTGGCGACAGTGGGAAGGAAAAACTCCCTTTTAATAGGAAGAAACCTCCTGCTAATGCAGTTCTGTACACCGACACTAGTTACTTTAACGGTAAACAAAATTTGATCACCTTTGTGACAAAATCAACTGAAAATTAGATTTGAAAAGCTTCATAAAGGTTAGTCAGTTGCATTAGATTTGAGAGGCATGGCTAATAAAATGTGTTTTTTGTTTTCTCGCACTACTGAAGTAGGGGTAGGCGATATAAACGATATACGATAGAAACGATATAAATTTGGCCAACGATAGAGATTTTGACTATATCGCTCTACCGCGATAGCGCATGTTGATGACGTCATCAAGCTGCGCCTGTTTTGGTCGAAAGCATCGCAGCGGCTAAAACCATTATCATCTGCAAATTATGCCGGGCGACAGTCACAGCAAAGAGATGAAGCACTTTTGAAATATGGGGAAAGTCAAAAACTGCGCTTCCTCCACTTAACGTAACATTGATTCATTAATGTTGAATTCTCTCGCAGCTGCTCTATTCCCGTGTTGTTGCAGTATATTAATAACTAACCTCATGTTGTGGATGAATAATCTCATTTGTTCTCCTGACTGAAGTTTGGCCCGTGTATAGCATCCTGCTATGCGATTGCATTTGTCCCTGACCACCAGAATCCC